AATATTTGTTTGCAAGTTTGAATACAGATATCTTTTTTTTTTTGAGAAGCAATTTTATATGCTGTTGCTTGCTAATTACATTTCATTTAATCACTTTTGATCATCATTTATGCACCTAACAAGCATTTATTGATTGCTTTCTGGGTGCAAAGCAATGGTGAGGTCCTCCTGGTTTTCTTTTATTCCTCCTTTTGATTTGATAATGGAGGGGAGGATTTAATAGACATTATACTCCTTCCATCTGCCACATCTTTAATGCAACCTTAAATGGGCTAGAGTCTGCTGCAGGTCCCTGGGGCACTCCACACTTGCCTACTTTCAATCACTAAGTTCTCTAAAAGATATGTCAGCAAGTTCTCTACCTTTGGGCTCAGGGCCAACACATTAAAATTAATTCAGTAGCAAAATTACCAAACTAAGATATGTCATTACCATTTCATTGCCCCCATAAACTGTGTTAATCATGTATTTTTTCCGAAAAGTAATTTTTCAATTCAACTTTAATGGCACTTTATAAACTACAATCAAACTTATTCTTGCTCTAACACAGTTACATTTGCTCCATGATTTTATTGGGACTGTCTGTATTTTCATTGCCTTCTTTTTCACTGGCTCACATTTCCCCAAAATTTAGATGTGATAATCCCGCCGAATGTTCCTTACTCCTACAATCATTTTGGATAGAACCGCTATCTCAAATAGTGCTTTGATTTCTACTGATCTCCATTCATTCATTCATTCATTTATTCATTCACTCAACAAATACTATTTTTCTTTGTAGAAATGTAGCAGTAGGCACTTGTCTTACTTTGCTCGGGCTGCCATAACAGAATATCATAGACTCGGTGGCTTAAAACACAGAAATTTATTTTCTCACATTTTTGGAGGCTGGAAAGTCCTCCCCAGGCTTCAGGTAGCCCCATCTCTAAGGCTACCATCAGTGACCCTCTATAAGGCCTGTTGAACAGAGGCGGTGGCCCCCATTCTTTGAAACCAAGAAGGTTTCAAGGAGCCCTGATGATCTCTGAATCACCTTCAGGGTTATTCTTCCCTTTTCTGGAAGAATGGCACACATTTATGGCTGAATAGCTCTGTTGTCCTGTCCTGCAGGATCTAAGAAATCTGACAGCCTTCCTTCATTTTGTCTCATTTGTTCTAACCCCTTTAGTTTTTCTGTCCCCTGCTGGTGGTGTTGCTGCTGGTATAATCCCCATCTCTATTCCTGGCTTCTGCTGAGCTGGTTGCTTAAGCCCAGGAGTAGCACCTATATCTCCTTGTCAAATGGCTGTACAGCCATACCCTGAGTGTTCTCTTCAGAACAGATTTCTCATTTTTGGCAATACGGATAGGCTGAGAATTTCCCAAATCTTCAAGTTATGGTTCTTTTTTTTTAAGATTTATTTATTTACTTACTTATTTAGAGAGAGAGAGCAGGGTGTGGGGGAGAAGCAAAGGGAGAGGGAGAGGGAGAGAAATCCTCTAGCAGACTCCTCTCTGAGCCCAGAGCCTGACACAGGGCTCGATCCCAGGACCTTGAGATCATGACGTGAGCCAAAACCAAGAGTCAGCTGGTTAACTGACTGAGCCACCCAGGCATCCCTGGTTCTTTTTTATTTAACAATTCCTTCTTCAATTCATCTCTCTCCTTTCCCACACTTTACTATAAGCAGTCAGGAGTAACCAAGATACTCCTTCCAACCTTTGCTAAACATCTCCTCAGCTAAATATCTAATTCCGTCACTTGTAAATTCAACCTTCCACAAAATACTAGAACATAGTTCAGCCAAGTTCTTTGCCATTTTATAACAGAATGGCCTTTCCTCCAGTTCCCAATAATATGTTCCTCATTTCCACCGGAGACCTCACCAGAATCACCCTTAACATCCCTATCTCTAGCATGCACCTTAAAACTTTTCCAGCCCCTACCCATTACCCAGTTCCAAAGCTTCTTCCACATGCTTAGGTATCTATTACACCAGCAGCCACCTTCTCAGTACCGGAATTTGTATTAGTCGGGGTTATCCAGAGAAACAGAACCAACAGGATTTTGCATGAGTGTGTGTGTGTGTGTGTGTGTGTGTGTGTGTGTGTGTGTGTGTGACGAGAGAGAGACAGAGAGAGATTTAGAAAGAATTGGCTCACATGATTATGGAGGCTGAGAATCCCAAGATCTGTTGTCAGCAAGTTGGAGACCCAGATGGTTTAGTTCCAATCTGAGTCCAAAGGCTTGAGAACCAGGAAAGCTAAGGGTGTAGTTCCAGTCCCCAAGCTGGCAGGCTCAAGATCCAAGAAGACAGTGTTTCAGTTCTAGTCCAAAGGCAGGAAAAGACTAATGACCCAGCTGAAAGTGGTCGGGTAGTAGGAGCTCCCTCTTACTCAGGCTTTTTGTTCTATTCAGGTCTTCCACTGATTGGATGAGTCCCCCCCCCCCCCCCGCCCCATATCAAGGATGGTGATCTGCTTTACTCAGTCTCCTGACTCACATGTTAATCTTATCCAGACATATCCCCACAGATACCTCGGAATGTTTGACCAAATGTCTGGGCATCCCATGGCCCCATCAAGTTGACAAATACAATGAACCATCGTAACATTATAGGACTCACAAAAATCATTAAGACAGTTTCTGCCCTTGAAAAGCTTACAAATTTGTGCCAGGGCCAGACTAGACACAAGGTGGAAGGAGACAGCTGCTATAGTAAAGGCAAGGGAAAGTGTTATGGGAGAGTAGAGAGCCTATTAATTTTGTCTTGGCAGATCAAAAGAAGGTTTCATGCAAGGGCTGCCATCTGAACAGCCTTGAATATAAGTAGAATTTGGATAACTGGTGCTAAAGGAGAAGAGAGAACTATAAATTTTAGGTGCAAGATGAACAGGGGTGTGAAGATGCATAATATAGTTGTATAACCAGCACTAGCCTGGAATGTCTTGGATATTAGTCTGTCAAGTAAAAACAACTGAAAAGCAAATGAAATCTTTAAAGCATGTTCAAGAAAATGCCAAGGCAGGGGATGGGGTGTGCTGCACTCATATTACACAGCAAAACTTCATACTATCCTCTTTCATGATTTCTCTCCCAAATCTCGCACATAATTCTCTCCCAAATCTCTCCACCATGCATAGCAGCTGCTCCCAAGTCTCTCCTCTCTCACACTTTAAAGCCCCCAAAACATCCTCCCAAGCCAGCCCATGTACAGGTTTTCTTTCCGCTGCCTCTTTTTTAACCGATAATTTTTCTCCCATCAGTAACTCTTTGTTCTTTCTAATATAAATCCATCTGGCTTAGCTTCTCCAGCTCTGTCCCTCGTCCATTACCTTCACCTACTTTCCAAAGGCCTAGGAGCCAATGAGTTCCAATCCCTAAGAGGCTAGAAGAGGTGAAACGTCAAGATATCCTTGTGTTCATAATGTTTTATCTCTGAAATCTGAAAAATAGCATGTACGCTTTGCTTATGTATCTTTCCAGTGAACGCAGAAAATCAATAAATCACTTGATATACATAAACAGTAGAGACTATGAAAGGACGTGGTAGGAAATGAGGCTGGAAAGGTAGCAATAAGAGCTAATGCCTAGGGTGCAATCACTATGTGCCATGCAGTATTTGCACCAAGTAGCATTTAGCTTTGAAGGCCATGCTAGTGTGTCTGAATTTTAGTCCACAGCCCTTGGGAACCATGGAAGATTAGTGATTATAAAACTGACATGTCCAGATTGTATTTTAAGGTCTACCTATAAGATTAATGCAATTTTACAAAATAGATTGGACGGAGGCAAAGATCAGAGGCAAGAATAGCAATAAGGAAGCTAAGAAGTACAGCTGAGAAGTGCTCAGGACCCATCAATTTGGATTTTTTGGGTTGTAAGAAAGAGAGGTTTGTGCAGACTGTTTTAATATAAAGTGTCTGTGTAAAGAATACTCCGAGATTGGGACAGGAACTAGGCTTGAAAACCCTCAGGATCTAAGACAGCTCTAGGGATGGAGGACTCTCTTCCTCTTTCTCTCTCATGTTCTCTCCCTCACACTTCTTTCTAACTGCTCCATTCTCCTCTTGGGCTCAAATACCCCTCCTCCCCTTCACTTCACATCCAGTCACAGAAGGAGCCTCTCAAGAAGATTTGGTTAATTAAATCACCCTTATAGGCATCCCCAGCCAGCAGCCTCCAGTGAGGAACGAACAGTTGGCCAATCCTTCACAGACTGCCCAGGCCATCCAGTGGGCAAGTGGGGGGAGAGGCCGTGGACACGGCTGGCATCATAATTAATATTTCTACTGGTGGTATGTTTGGAGAGGAGGGGGTGCCTTCTAACTTAAGCCAAAAAGTTAATTTAATAAGTACCATTCTTCATTTTACCGTTGCTCGCAACTATAACCTTGACCAAGGCACTTATCTCTTCTCTGCTTTGGTTTCTTCATCATTCAAATGGAGATACAAGTAACAGTACTCTAGAAATTAGCATTCTTCCAAATTGCTAGCCACATTTAGTTAACATGAGATTTCACTTCTGGGCCCCTTCTGGTTAACTAAGAATAACAATACCTTATGTGTGTAATTACAGTTTGCAAATCAAGTTCACATCCATTTGATTTGATCCTCACAAGAACCCTTTAAGGTAGGTAAGACAGATATTACCTCCATTTTTCTGAGACCCAGAGAGGTTACATGACTTATTCAAGGTCACACAGCTATCAAGTGACAAAGCCAGGACTTGAATTCTCATCTTCAGTCTCCAAGATCAGTATGTTCTCCTCTTGGTGCCTCTCAAGGGTTTGGTTGCTTGTTCTCAAGGAGCAGATCTGCTGTAGACTCAAGCCTCCTGTCTTCCTGTTCTTTCTATTCTTATGTCTTCTTCTTCTTCTTTTTTTTTTTAATGCCTCTCCTGTTCTCCTATATTTCTAATTTATTACAGAAGTCTCTGTTTTGCCTTTGGTAATGAAGGGTTTGGTTCTAGACATTCGACAACTTCCCTGGGCACTGACCCTTGCTTCCTGAATTGCAGGGAGACACTCCATTACAGTCACCACTCTGACCTCAGCTGGAAACATCGGGGAGGATGGAATCCTAAGCTGCACTTTTGAACCTGACATCAAGCTTTCTGATATCGTGATACAGTGGCTGAAGGAAGGTGTTATAGGCTTGGTACATGAGTTCAAAGAAGGCAAAGACGACCTGTCAGACCAAGATGAAATGTTCAGAGGCCGGACAGCAGTGTTTGCTGATCAAGTAATAGGTGGCAATGCCTCTCTGAGGCTGAAAAACGTGCAACTCGCAGATGCTGGCACCTACAAATGTTACATCATCACCTCCAAAGGCAAGGGGAATGCCAACCTTGAGTATAAAACTGGAGGTGAGTTACTTTTGGCAAAGGGGAAAGAGAGCGCCCCACAGTATTTGGGGCTAAAGACCACAGGATGCTGCTGAAATATTTTATGTTCATGAGTGACCTGTAAGACAAAGACCATCCCGCCACCAGCCATCCTTGCTGTCCAAGACCCGCACCAACTCCAAAAATAGCCCCCCCTATAAGATTAAGTCTTAAAATCTTCTGTTCTGGACTCTACTCTTCTCTGGATTTTCAGGTATATTCCCTGAAATAGTTTGCCAAAATAAATGTGGTCTCTTTTATGGTAGCCTTTGTTGTTGCTAGTAAGAGAAACCCATGATCTGGCCTGAGATTTTTCTGTGCTAAGTAGGCTCTAGCCCAAGTCTGAAATCAGTCTCCAGAGACTCATGGCAGTGCAACCTATTTTAGGAGAAGTTCAAAGGGAACTAACCAAAAACAATAATGTTCTATAAACTCACTAATCCTCCCCCAGTGAAATCCCACCCTTCGTTATCGACTCAGCTTGGTGAATTTATGTATAAGAAACTCAGAGAGGTACTGTGAGGAGTAAAAAGATGATTAAGGAAACTAGATGATGGTCCCTCCTCTTGCAGAGCTCACAGGACACAGCTTACAGAGTTGAGGGCTGGGGTGGAGATAAGAAAAATAGGTAGGTATCTATCATAATCAGTAAAGTTTATCAAATGTTTTAAGAGAAATACAGAGTGATTTGGGGATGCAGAGGGAGAGAGGGATCACATCCAAATGCATAGGGAGGGAAAGGGATAGGAGAGCCCCCATGGAGAATTTGGCATTTGAGGAAGGCCTCACAAAATAGGCAGAAAGTATCCTGAGGGCTCTGGCCTACACAAGTCTGCACAGGCCTTCCTTGGACACTTTATAACAATGTGTTTCTATTGGTGATCTAGAGCCAGACCTGGGCAAGTACTGGGGCCTGGGCAAGGCAAACTCACTGAGCCTCAGTTTCTTCATCTTAAAATGGGGATTAATAGGGTCATGTCAAAAGGACCCTGGAGCCAACGGAAAGGGCTTCCAATGACAAAGCTGGAACAATCTGAGCAACAAAACAAACAGCATAGTAGTAAATGAAAACTCCAAGTATAAAATAAATACACATGAATCCATACTTCCATACATATGAGGGAGATGACACAAATTTTCCTTACAGATGAATTCCAAATAACGTATTTCGATCTCCCCACTCCAGGAGGTGGAGCCTAGTACTTCCTCATTTGACCACACTCAGGGTGTGTTTTCTTAGTGAAGTCCAACTTCCAGAGGAACGTGGCAAACACTGCCTCAGCAAGGTGATCAAAGTTAACATCATCAATGAGAAGTCATGTCAGTAGTATGCATTCTGATGTGATATGATGAGGAGGGCACTTTTCCTTCTGTGGCCTTCCTCACCAAAACCCATAGCTTCAATCTAATCATGAGAAAAACCCCAGACAAATTCCAGTAGAGGTGCACCCTACAAAATACCTGACCTGGACCACGCAAACTGTCAAGATCATGAAAAACATGGAAAGACTGAGAAACTGACACAGACCAGAGGAACCTAAGAGGACAAGCCAACTAAATGCAATATGGGATCCTGGGAAGAAAAAGAAGGACATTGGTGGAAAAACTGGTAAAATACAGATAAAATCTGGAGATGAGTTAATAGTTATATACCAAAGATGGTTTCTCAGTTTTGGCAAATGTACCATGGTTGTTTAAGATGTTAACATTAAGGAAAATGGTGAGGTGTATGCAAGACCTCTCCGTGTTACCTTGGCAATGTTTCTGTAAATCTAAAATTATTCCAAAATTAAAAACTTGTTTTTTAAATGGTGATAATAATAGAGATCCCTAGAATGGTTGTGAGGATCAAATGAAATAATGTCTGGAATTTGGTACCTGGCACGGAGCGCACCCTCCGTGGTGGTTCATTGTCATGTACGGTCAGCTCCTTACATCATCTCCCAGGAGCTCATTCCCTGCCTGCTGTGAGCAGATGAGTCTCATCTCCCCTGCTAGATGGAAGATTCTTTAAGGGCAAAGCAAGGTCTTTCCTTTCACTGCTCACTCAGTCCCAGCATACTCCCAGTCAAAGGAAAGTGCTAAATAAATTAATAACTTGGATCTTGCCATTTGGCATAATAAGCATTTTATAGTCAAAAGTCCAGGCCTTAACATTTTTCCACAAATGTTTCAATGCCTGGGTATTAGCGGAAGCTAGTCTTAATTTCAAAATTCATTGACCTCCCCAATAAGGAGGATTATCTTAGAAGAAAAAAAATGGCTGTCTCTACCCCTGGATACCAGGGCTGGAGAGTCTCCACCCAAGCAAAATCCAAACCCCCATGATGACAAGGCCCGTGTATGGAATTTCTGTGGGTGACAGGTGAATGCTGTTTGTTCCTTCTCCCTCTCCCTCCCCACCCTAACTTTATCCTCCAGGCGGAAAAATAAATAAAATCCAAGAGACTTCACAGGTGCCTGAGAAAATGTCCAAAATCCCTAAGGAATAAACATTTTGTGATCAACTTTCTCCCTTATCTTTAAGGGTTGAACTGGAACTCCCCTTAGTTGGAGAAATCTATCTGTTGTAACAATTATACCTAGAACTTAGGTCCTGGGAGTTTGTGATTTTGGCCAAAGGGTTGTACAAATCATTATGTGCATCTACAATACAATGGGCCATACACGGATGGCCTACTGGGGAAGTACTGAGTCACTTCAATGGTGGAAATGACTGTGTTTTTAAGACCTAGCACTTCAAAGACTATATTGTTTTATCTGTATGACCTTGACATCTGCCCCTCTTGACTTCCAACCCTGCAGCCTTCAGCATCCCAGAGGTGAATGTGGACTATAACGCCAGCTCAGAGAGCTTACGGTGTGAGGCTCCCCGATGGTTCCCCCAGCCTACAGTGGTCTGGGCATCCCAAGTTGACCAGGGAGCCAACTTCTCAGAAGTCTCCAATACCAGCTTTGAGCTGAACTCTGAGAATGTGACCATGAAGGTTGTGTCTGTACTCTACAATGTCACGATCAACAACACATACTCCTGTATGATTGAGAACAACATTGCCAAAGCCACGGGGGATATCAGAGTGACAGGTGGGTTTCTCCACGCTTTTTGCATGGGTTTATTGGGCTAAAATCAAATACAAATTAAAATCTAATTGGTTTAACAGACATATTATGTATCGGGTTATAGAAAGCTTGAGAGTTCTCTTCATGGAGAACTTGACCACAATTATAGTTGGGATTGCATTACATAAGAAGACTAATACAAAACAATATTTTATGGAATAGAGGTCAAAAATCACAATGAGGCTTCATCTTGTACGCCTTCTCACTGACTGGGGGTAGTTGCCTGGAGAGCAGTATTTAGGATTCTGTAGTCCTAACTCAATAAGACTGTTTTGGTGAAACAATGAGGAAAATGACAATTATTGGATATCTTTGATATATTCAGCTGGTGATCTATATCCCAAGCCCCCCAACCAAAACTAATTTGGTTCTAGCCTGCCTTTGAGAAGATTTTTCATCTGAAGACTAAAAGTCTTAGGGTCCAACTCCAGCTTAGTCTCATTCAACCCGTCTAGGGCTGGCTCATGATCCCACTAATATTGGCCCAGGATTAGTCAGAAAGCTCTAGATTGAACTGGCCTCCCAGGCTAAAGAAACTAGGACTCAGAGCGGCCCAGCACCCTAGTTTCCCTACCTTAGTACATAAAAAAAACTAGGGTTGAGCTAGTGTCAAGAAAATGTACAGACTGGATTATGACTTTTAAGACCATCCCTACTGCAGCTGAATTAAATTCAATCTATAGTGGAAGGAGTATGTCAGGAGAACTGCTGTCTTATATCAAGCCCACAACCAGGTGGGATACCTTGTACAATTAAGTGCCTTATAAATGTTTGCTGAATTCATAAAAAAATATGAATAAATCATATTTTTTCAGCTTACTTTTTAATTTAAAAGTATATATATGAAAAGGCAACCTATGAAATGGGAGAAAGTATTTGCAAATCATATATCTGATATCCAGAATATATAAAGAACTCCTACAACTCAACAACAAAAAAAATCAAATAACCCGATTAAAAAATGGACAAAGGCCTTGAATAGACATTTCTCCGAGAAGATAAACAAATGGCCAACAAACATGAAAAGATGCTCAATATCACTAATCATCGGAGAAATGCAAATCCAAATCACAGTATCACCTCACAAGCATTAGGATAGCTAGTATTAAAGAATCTGGAAAATAACAAGTATTGGTGAGGGTGTGAAGAAATTGGAACACTTACATGTGTTGATGAGATTGTAAAATGGTGCAACTGCTATGGAAAACAGTATGGGGATGCCTCAAAGAATTTTAAAAATAGAACTACCATATGATCTAACAATACCATTTCTGTGTATACATCCCAAAGAATTGAAAGCAAGTTCTTAAAGAGATATTTGTACACCCATGTTCATAGCAGCATGATTCACAATGGACAAGAGATGGAAGCAACCCAAAATGTCCCTAGCAGATGAATGAATAAACTAAATGTGGTATATTGGGGCGCCTGGGTGGCTCAGTTGGTTGTGTCCAGCTCTCCATTTCAGCTCAGGTCATGATCTCAGGGTTGTGAGATGGAGCCCCATGTCGGGCTCCGTGCCAGGTGTGGAACCTGCTTAAGATTCTCTCTCTCCCTCCCCCTCTGCCTCTCCCCACGATCCCCCACTCAGGCGTACTCTCTCTAAAAAAAAAAAAAAGTGGTGTATATATATATGCATATATATATATATATATGCATATATATATACATATACACACACACACACACATATATATATACAATGGAATACTATTCATCCTTTAAAAGGAAGGAAATTCACATGCTACAACATAAATAAATTTTCAGGCTATCATGCTAAGTGAAATAAGCCAGTTGTAGACAAATACTCTATGATTCTACTTATATGAGATATCTAAAGTAGTAGTCAAATTCACAGGAACAGAAAGTAGAATGGTGGTTACCAGCACTTTGTGGGGGAGGGAAAAGCAAAGAGAGTTGTTTAATGGGTATAGAGTTTCAGATTTGCAAAATGAAAAAGTTTTGGAAATCTGTTTCATAATAATGTGAATACACTCAAAACTACTGAACTGTACATTTAAAAATGGTAAAGATGGTAAATTTTATGTTTTTTACCACCAAAAAAAATATCTAACAAACAAATCATACATATGAGAAAAAGAGAGCTCTTCCACCATCCTGAGGAACAAATTGGTGACTAGTGAATAGAATGCTCTTAGTTGATGGTAACAGAAAACCAACTCAAAATAGCCTAAGCTAAACTGAGAATTTAATAAAAGAGTATTAAGGATAGCTCATGGAACCAAGAACAAAAAGAGTAATTTGGCTTCAGGCACTGCTGGAACCAGGAATTTAAACTCCACTGGGATTTTCAACTCTACAGTTTATTCTCTTGTTACTCTCTAATTTAGTTTCTCTTGTTTTAGTCTATAGGGCAGAATGTGATTCCCAAGAGTTCCTAGCTTTAAAAGTGTCTCTCACTCGACAGAGTAACCAGAGTGAGCCTTAATCCCACAGTCTTATTCTACATTCTCAGAAAGGCTCAACTTGCGTCAGTTGCCCACACATAGACCAATGACGCAGTACCTGATGGAAGGCCTTCCCTGAAGAAAAGGGGGAAATGAAGCATTGGGCATTTAGAAGGATGGGTGTTAACAATAGTATCTCAGTTCAGATCTCAATAAATATCTCCAAACTGGATAACTAAAGCCTTCCAATACAAAGGACAGTAACTGAATAAACCACAGATATTAAGCACACCTTTTATTCAGTGAGCAGATTCTTTTTCCCTACATGCTTGTTGAATACATCAGGACAAGTGTCCCAATGTATCAGTACTAAGACTAAATACAATATGGTAGCAAGACATAGCTCAAAATTCAGAAAATAACACAATTCCTTCTTGCCACGTACAAAGTAAGTACTCCGTACATGTTTTTAAACCACTGGATGCGATGGCAGAGTTTACGTCCTGTGTTCTCTGACTCTACTGCTAATTTAGGTTATTCATTCAACAAGTATCTATTGTGTGCCAAATATGTACAAAGCAATTTTTAAGTCCCATGAAATATGGAGGTGAGTGGCACAATAGCATAAATGTCATAAGAGGAATTAATTCCAGTGTAGATGTGGTGTCTAGGGGAAGGAATTGTTAATTATGACTGTGGCTCAGTAGACGAGGCAGAGTTGAAGCTGGGCTTTGAAGGAGAAGAAGAACGGTTTTGATAGAATAGGAAGGTATGAAGTCAGGAGCCTATGTCAATGGCCCAGGGGAGAAATGAGGAGGGCTTTAACTGGGACAGTGTCAATGGAAAGGAAAGGGGAAGAATCAAAAGCTAATGAAAAAAATCATCTTGGTTACACAAATATGAAGGACAAGAGAAAGAGGAAGTCAAAACGGGTCTAATAGTTCTACCCCGGTTGCTTAGGAGGTTAGTAATGCTATCAACCCAAAATTGAAACAGAAGAAGCAACATGAAGGTGAGGGTTTTGGAGATGTTGAGTTGAAAGTGCCCATTGTGCACATAAGTAGGGATGTCTAATGCATGGCACATTACCCAGCATGTGACAGCATTCTCCCCATAACCCTTAACCCTCCCCTACATATTTCCTTCCATGAGAAAGGATTCCCCACCAATGTAATCCTTGTAGCCTCTCTCGTCTCCCTTCTTCCCCTTCTCCCCAGAGGAGGAGGAGTTAATTTATCTGATTAGGGACTTTTGTAGGAGAAGCTAGACACGAAGAGTTTGGCTCCTTCTTTTCCTTTTCTCTCTAGCTAACCCTCAGAAAGTGTGCTCCTCTGAGCCATCAGTTCTTCAGAAGCAGAACCCGCTCTTGCGGCAGGAAGCCTGCCCCAGTCTGGTGCTGCCTGTCACTGGGAAAGTCTAGGGGGCGGCCCATCTGCCTGCAGACAAAGCTCCATCTTTTATCATCAGACTTAACCAATGATAAAGGTGACATTTTGGTCTTCCAGTTGCCTCACTCGTTTTATCTGACCCTTTAATTGGTTCAGAACTCAGCTGGGGAAGAGGCTGTTCCTTACTGGACTCCTTTGAACCCCAACAGCAGGTGCTCAAAAATATTTACTGAATAATTAAATTTTTAACTGACGTATACAGTGGCAACCATAAATCCAGATGTGGAACTCGGGCCAGAGCTCAGACTAAGGAGGTGGGTTTGGAGATGGTCAGATTAGTGGAAATAATGCTTATTGGGCTCGAGTGGGGTCCCTCTTATTGTTGTTACAGGGGATACTCGAGTGCTTATTACGTGCCCGGTCCTGTTCTAAGTGTTTTACATCCTCAAAAGAACTCTATGAAGTCCATTATTACCTTAGCCTTCTTTTCTGGGTGAAGAAACTGAGGCACGTATAGGTTGAGTAACGTGCCTAAAGTCACCCAGCTAGTAAGTGTCAAAGCTGAAACGAACTAAATGAGATTGGATTGTCTAGGAAGCAAACAGAGTAAAAGAAGAGTAATCTCATGTCTTCACTTCTACCTTTCTCGACTTCAAATGAGAACAATACTTTCGCATTGCTTTGTAGTGGTATGATGAAGCAAGTGACACAGAACCTGTAAAGGTCACTGCCTACAGGAAAAAAATGTGTCCGAAGCCAAGGACTGGCCATGACCGCTTATCCTATTCTTTCTTTGGTAAGCAATAACAGTCTCTTTATTGGTCTAGTTTTTCATTTGGCTGAGTGTTCACTGGCGTGGACAACAGAAAGGGACTTCCTTTGAAGAAAGAGAAAGCTCTGATTTTAAGCCAGTTACGGAGAGGTAGAGAATAGGGTACAAAATTGCCCCCAGATTGGGGTATAAGTTGTATTAGAATCAACTTGTTCTGTTTTTCAGATACCTTTCTTTGCCAGGCAGCCACGTGAAGAAGACATCCAGCTTTTCCTCTGTGACCCTGAACTTTTTTCTCTCCCTTTGCAGACTCTGAGATTAGAAGGCGGAGTCACCTACAGCTGCTGAACTCAAAGGCGTCCCTGGGTGTCTCTTCTTTCTTTGCCATCAGCTGGGTACTCCTGCCTCTCTCCCCTTACCTGCTGCTAAAATAATGTGCCCTGGACACAGAGAAACACGCAAAGTCATTAGTACGACAGGTGAGATGAATCAAGAGTGGTGTGGGGATCGGATCTGTGTGTGCTTGCGTTCCCAACAAGAGTCAAGCAACCTCCAGCATCAGCCTCAGAAAGAAACATTTGATAATGCCAGGGCAGTGGGCACTCTTCCTGCTGGTCTTGTGAAAGGTAAATATGTGTGAACAAAGAGTGTAGATCTCATCGATATACTTCCAGCAAAAACAACTCTGCAATTCAAAGATTCGTGTAAATTCAAACGTCTTTTCATTGACCAGGTTATCCATCCACAAGGCATAAAGACAAAGAGGAAGAGATGTTTAGCCCCGATAGTTCCTCTGGACTTCACTGCTACCTTACAAAGCCTCATGACATGCACATAATCACTCACGCAGGTGACCTCCTCCTAGCCCCCCAACAAAGCTCCTATTGACCAGAAGTTTGACAAATGACTCCCCAACTAGCCCCGCCCCTGCTGAGACTTCTGTCACTTCAGTCCTCTGGCTCCCATTATTAGTAGGACATTGCTTTCTGGATATTCTTCTTGTATGGCATCTGTGTACAGCTGAGCTCATGAAGCTCCAATCAGCACTATCACATGACTCAGCGGCATCGCCACCAATGCATCCAGGCTCGCAAACTTAGAGCTATTTCTGTCCCCGCTCTGTCCTTGACGTCCATTTGTTACTAAGCCCCAGAGCATTTTCCCTGGGTTGTCCCTCAGACTGACCCCCAACCCCAACAACCCCAGCCTCCACTGTTTCACACACCAGACTAGTTCTAAAAACCTTAGACTTGCTCCTTCCTCTCCCTGTGTCCATCGATAGGAAATAAGATGCCAAAATAAAATGATTCCAGTGCTATTTTCATCACAGCATTCCTTTGCTCTGGAACTGAACGTGACTCTCTGGGCACTATTGTGTCAAAGTCAAAGTCTTCAGCCATGTGGTCACAGCTCTCAGAGTTTCTTCCCCTGTGCTTCCTGCTTCTCTCAGCTGCCTGCTCCTCTCTCTGGCCTTGCTCCCTCTCTCACTGCCCCTTTCTGGAAGTCTCCTCGACTCTATGGCTATTCAAAGCCACCCTTCCTTCACCCATTTCAATCAAGTGCTTCCCAGCTCATAGCCCACTTTCCTGATGGTCCCTTCGTTCCCCATCCCCTTGGCATGCATGAATAATTTATGATCTCTTACACTCTCAAGGCACATATATTCCTCGCCTAGATTGTTAAGTAGGGCAGGCAAAGATCTGTTGATCTGCTTTTCATTCTTTTCTCCTGTTCTCCAAACACAACAGTGCAGTGCACAAAAGGGATTCTTTGTAAGGAAACCCGCCCGGGCCCACCTCCACGGTTGACAGTGGAGGGAGATTTCCCTAAGGAAACTCTCTCTTGAGGATCTCACTAGTAGAAAAGGAACACACTTTCTTCTTTCCTTGATTAATTATGTGGGCATATTAACGATTAATATCCTGCAACTAGATAATCTAACCTATAAAGGATAGCTGATTCATCTTTATCTTGTATTTCCTTTGAGCAGTAATTTGCAGCCTCTTTTGAAAAGCCATGACATCCGTGTAAGGGACCATGTTCACATGCAGTATGCATAGGTTATATACAGTTACCTGATTACTACAGCTCCACCTCTTTCTCCCTACAACTACAGAGGCATAACCTTAAATCAATTTTTAAAAATAAATAAGTAGATCATTACTTGTGAAACCCATAAGGGACCGTGGGGAGGGTCATTGAAAAGATGTGAGTGACTGTCAGTTGACCCATGAGCTAGACCCGGGTGATCAGAGGCTCCTCACCTCCACCCCTGTCCTCGGGATGAGGGTCCCACTTGCCTGTCTCGCTCCCGGAGGCTGCTCTGAGGACATGGCCTTGAGATAATGATGTGGCGTTGAGAACACCTTGCACAGTGTATGTGACCGAACCCAGTGACGGCCCCTAGATAAAATTTTAAGACTGGCAAGGATCTACTCGTCTTCTTGCTGCCCAGGACAAGCCTCATGTATAAGTGTCCTTTGCTCAGAGACTGCCACCCACCCACCTGGAGTGGTCTGCCTCTCCCTGCTCTACAAGGAAGGGGGCACGGTTTCAGACTATAACCAGGGAGCTCCCGGGAGCGTTGCGAACCAACGCTGAGCACAACACTTTAGGTCACACACATTCCTTGGTTGGACACTCAAGGGGAAACCGTCTTTCTACTTCTACCCAGAAGCCTGCTCCTAGCTCCTCTCTCAGTTCCTGTTTTCTCTAAGCACGATCCCCTTCCTGAAGAAGAGACTCAAGCCATCTTCTTTCCCCCAAGCAACCCACGGTAGCATGTGGTCTTTAGAGAACATCATCAAAATACAGAAAAACGAGCCCATCTCTGAACGAGAGATACCCTCATACAGGGGCAGAGACAATTGGTTCTCCATAAAGGTTTGCTGAATCGTTGTAAGGACATCCTATTTCTGTCATTTTCAGAATCCCAGGAATCTGTAGAACTATTTCATCATAAGATATGACCGAGTTTTGTATTTCTGGGGGGAAATGAATTCATGGCTAGAAGTTTGGAGTGAACAAATAAGATCAAGAAACAAACGAAAAAAAAAAGTCAAAAGTAACCCACAGAAGACTCCAGTATGAACCAGATAAATCTATTTCCAAAGACCTATATGAAAACCTGGGAACATAATTCATCTGAACTGGATATGTGTTAGGAGTAAGTCAACTGCGAGTGGAGACAAGTGGATCTCCGTACCTCAGGGACCTCCCCTTACAACCACCCCCCTCAGCCAGGGAGTGAGGGGGTGGGATATTGCCTCTCCCCTGTCTCTGAATCTTTGTATTGCTGTAATGTTGCTCTAAGTTCCCAGAAAATTTTGATTTGCAATACCTCCACATCTTATAATCCATAAGTTAAGCCACAGTGGATATAGTAAGAAGCTGCTAATAAACTGCCACTTCACAATTCAGAGGTGGCTGAATTTTAGTGTTGGGTCAACTAATTCACTTTTCGTTAGGATGCTTCCCAAAGTGCCTTGGAATCTCCTCCCACCTGACAAATGCTAAAGAAATGTGGGCAAGGTCATAATTTTAACTTAAAACATGCAGCTGGGAGACACTGGTTTTCCAAATTATCCAGACATCTTCTTTTTTAAACAAACAAATGCCATTTTATTTCTCAGATGACGTGCATCCTTAACTGGGCAGGAAAGGACCTCTCGTCATCACTGTATACAGCATTAGGTCAACACAAGTGTTTCAGGTTTCTCCTTTCTATCTTGCGTGGACAGTGATAACCTCAGCTTTCAACAGCACCTGGAGCAGTGGGACTCGACCGGGGTGATTTTTCACACCCCTCCCCACACACAGCGGACATCTGAAAATGTTTGGAGACAATTTTAGTTGTCACAATTCAGGGGAGAGAGGAGGGTGCTAATGTTATGGATAGGACCCAGGGATGCTGCTCAACATCCTACAGTGTACAGGATGATCCACCCACAACAAAGAATTACCCAGCCCCAAATGTCAGTCCTAGAAGAGGATCTAGAGAAGGGGGGGGCAGATAAACAAAACCTGTTTGCTTCCTACGGAAAGGCACCATCCTCTGTTTCTCTGGCTGCTGTCTCAGCACAGAGAGTCAGAGCTCAGTTTCAGGCAAACAGGAATTCCTGATGGGGTTATATCTGGTGGGTTCCTTTCCCTTCCTTCTGCGGTACAAATTAGGTTCTGTGAGAGCTGCCTGAGGTCTATCTCAAGCTCTCTTGCTCCGAATTCAGATCTCAGGACCCTGCCTAGTCATAATTCCAATGAAGGCAACGAAAACACGTCCCCTCCATGAAACACACAGAGGCTTCTGAAAGCAGAATGGACCTTTGAAATGAGACCCTGAGGAATAAAGCTTTGATCGAAAAGAATGCTTTGTTCACACACACACCCCCTTTCCATACTTTTCACTTGTTGACGTCTGCCTCCCTGACACTTTGGACCCACCATGACTGTACTACATTTTGTTATAGAAAACTCGATTTTTGAGCTCTGAGCATTCAAGAGAATGATTAAATGCACAATTTCCTATACTGTTGTCTGCCTGGTTTGTCAAAGCAAGTGAGCATAGGGAAGGTGGATAAAAAGCCATGGATCAAGTTCTAAAGATTGGCACCTAGCACCTAACAGGCCTTCAACGAATGTTTGTTGAATGAAGAGATAAACGAATAGGAGTGGCTGGGCCTGGTTTCTGAAGGAAATTCCTTAGGCTTTGCCAAGCCTGCCATGTGTCCATCTGGGAAAGGTCTCAGTGGCTTGAGGCAGATAACATTTGGGAGAATACATACAGGTTGACAAACCCATTGCTCTAGTGTCAAAAAATCTGATGTTTACTATTTAGGAATTGTCAAATTCTCAAATCTTAGTGGTGAAGGACCTCAAAATCATCTTGCCTAGTCCTTTCACTTTTCAGATGAAGACCCAGAGGCCCAGGGTGAAGTGTATGTCATGGCCTCAGGTTTATGTGACTTGCCAAAAATTGCACTGATAGTTGGTAAAGGGATAAAAATCTATAGAAAATTTAATTGCCAAAGGGCAAATTCTCAGGGGACTTTCAGAACAACTCTTCCCTGCTGCATTTCCAGCTTGGTCCTGATTGGCCCTTTTACAAGAAGGGACCTCGGACTTTTACAAGAAGGGACCAATGCTGAACCAAATTGAAAAAGCAAACTGTGAGAGCATAAACATTCCCAACCCAGGTTAATTCTTTGGACTGGTCCATGAGCACACAGCAGATGTATTAGACAACAGTATCATATCAGCTAAAGTGAAAGAACCAGAATATAATGCACACCACAAACATTTGGGGAAGCTCAAACCTGGATGCCAAAGGCTAAAAAGTTTGAGAAGTGTTACGTATTTGACCGAACAAGTCAAATTTCAAGGTGAAGTATCAGCTCCCAGCTATCCCCAGGTTGTGTGAAGATTTGTTTTCAGTGCACAGTGACCTCAATCTGTGCATTATTAATCGGGGGAAAGGGTGCACACAGTTCACTATTGCATAATAAGGCTTCTGCTTGATGGCATCTGTGGGATGCTTCGGTTCTGTGGATGAAACGGAATTCCCAATCTCCCTCCGGCTGGTGAAGCCTCCACACATCCAACCGGCTGTTCTAATTCAGACTGTCTTACCATGTGCCTGAGCTCCTGCTCCTTCTGACTTTGTTCTATTTCCTCCTTCATGTCAGTCATCTCCAGGAGTTTCAGTATGAAAACCATGAGTGAGAATTAACTGTCACAAAAACAGCCTTAGCTCTGCTCTCTCCTGTCTTTTTTTAAATTCTACCTACCCTCCAGCAAAAATTCTTTCCCCATGAAGCTGTTTCTGAGTTCTACATAACATGATTTTACTGTCTTTGGTCTATGCATGCAATTTAGCATGGTTTTCACTGCTGTGTACTTGGACTCCCTTGAAGATGATGACAAAATAAGGATGGGGGTCCAGGTAGGCAGCCCTTGGAAGTCTACTCTTAGAAGAGGGTCAAGCAAATACACCCAGGAAGCCTTGTTTCCTGATGGCGTTTGCTGGGACAAAGCAGTTAAATCGCAGCCTAGAAGGGGGCTCTGCACTTACCACTACAGGAGCCCCTGTGTCTACTGAAAGGTCTGGCTCCCCCAGAAAATGATATGTCTGTGGCTTCTCAAAGTCATAACTTGACCGTCAGCATTACCTTGTCTCTTCAGTTCAAATCTAACCGTCCTGCCTAAGGAGTGTCCTTAGCATTTTCAATCAGAAGATCCCTTACCCAAAACTCTAAACAACATTTCAAATAAGAACTTTATGAATACCTTGGTCCTATCTCCCTTCTTTAGAAGAAGCCAAAAGTGATGCTCAGTTAACCTAGCCTGTGAGCAGTTCATAGCAGAGTGACAGAATTTCCTTTCTCTTTGCCCTCTGTGTTTGCAGTTACCAAATGTTATTTGTAACTACTCATGTGTCATTCTAGAGAGAACAATTTGGGTTTTGACAGACACAATTCCAGGACCTTATGGTACTTAATATGACTTTGATGAGTTGGTTCAGGTAGCCATAGAGGACTCCAGTGGTGGGTCCAGGCCTCACACCTAGGGTAGGTGAGACTAGAAGTATGACAGGGTTACAGCATACAGATAACAGCTTCTTTCGAGAGGCACTGGTGCCCCAGAAGAAGCCAAGCCACAGCCTGCTAAATGAGGATCTAGGAGAAAAATAATAATTGTCTTCAGTTTCCTCCCCCTTCCCTTTTATCCATTTTCTCCCACATGGCCCAGTCAACCCTCCTCTAGGCCCTGAATACTCTCTGTATTTCCACCATTCTTTCTATTAACTGCCCCACCTCCCACTGCCCAAGAAAGAAAATGCTTCCTGGCACCTAGCTACACATGAGAAGGTAATTTATGGACTACCTTTTTCATTAGCTTAATGTCTTGCCCTCCCATGAAGGCAAGTCCTTACTTTATTGAAATCAAGCCGTGAGTGAAAATATCAAACAAAAATATTAAACTACTGAGAGCTACTTGGGATATCAAAGTGTAGACCAGTGATTCTCAGCAGGGAAGTCTGGGGGCAGGGGGTGGGTTTTTGTTTTTGTTTTTTTTAACAATACAGACATCACTACCTCCTTCACATCACTGCAGTGAAGAATCACTGTGTGACATGACACGGATTTGAAGAGAATATGTTACCTTTATACACAGGAGACTATTGTGGAAGTCTTGAGGTCAACTGAGGCAAATAGCTACCTTTAGAGCAGGAAAGGAAATCGAGCGCCTCCCATGTGTCAAATGTCAGACGAGGTCTTTTTTCTCATTCAACCTTTATCCTATACGGCGGGTATCACCTTGCCCCATCACCACCACCATCACCATCACCATCACCATCACCATCACCACCACCATCACCATCACCATCACCATCACCACCACCATCACCATCACCATCACCATCACCATCACCACCACCACCACCATCACCATCACCATTTTACAGAGGAGAAAACAGGTCCTGAGAGGTTAAGTAACTTATTTAAGATCACACAGCCAACAGGTTGAACCAGAATTCAAGCTCAAATCTATCATAACGACCCATACTATTTCTGAAAGAGCCTGGTCGTGTGTAAAAGCGCTATCAGAGGCTTAAAATATTACATAAATATTGGCCATCATGTAATTATATGTATTAAAATACGAGGAGTCCTTGGGAGAGTTCAGCTTCGTTGCTCCTACAGGTTTGCAGCTATCTGTGAGGACGGCTCTTCTCCCTAGAGGAGACTGCAATACTGCCTCAGTTACACTTGGGGCCATTTCCCACCGCAGCCTCTCCCTGCGTCCCCGAGGGGCTGCCAGTGGAATCGCAAGCCTCTCCCACCGGCTCTGGCAACACCACCTTGTTGTGTTCCCAACAGTCGTTCTGGGACTACCTCTGAGACTTCAGAAGAGGACTGTGATCTGCTGAAGTGAAGTCTTTTCCAGTTGATCCAAAATGTCTTCTGAGACCAGTTTATACGGTCATTCTTGTCCAGCCTCAAGTACACCTGGAAAGAACACATTTAATTACTGTAACTTCTCCCCTGGATCCACTAATGTTGAGCGCTGGATCACACATGACCCCTTCTCCTCTGTCATGACCAACCGTACTGCTTCTATGTAATCAAATCTATCAGCTTTTCTACTTTTGTTTCTTCTTTTAGTACTTCTGTTTATGTATGTTTAAATATAAACTTCTGCACCCCTGGATTAGGTCAAGCTATTCATCTTTACATTATAATATTTCCATGTTTCTTTTTTAACATTTAAAACTTTACTCCAGGGGCTCCTGGGTGGCTCAGTCGGTTAAGCGTCTGCCTTCGGCTCAGGTCATGATCCCAGGGTCCTGGGATCGAGTCCCTCGTGGGGCTCCCTGCTCAGCGAGAAGCCTGCCTCTCCCTCTCCCACTCCCCCTGCCACTCCCTGTGCTTGTGCTCATTCTCTCTGTGTCAATAAATAAGTAAATAAGGGGCGCCTGGGTGGCTCAGTTGGTTAAGCGACTGCCTTCGGCTCAGGTCATGATCCTGGAGTCCTGGAATCAAGTCCCGCATTGGGCTCCCTGCTCAGCGGGGAGTCTGCTTCTCCCTCTGACCCTCTCCCCTCTCATGCTCTCTCTCTATCTCATTCTCTCTCTCAAATAAATAAATAAAATCTTTTAAATAAATAAATAAATAAATAAATAAATAAATAAATATTTTTTAAAAATAAATAAATAAAACTTTACTCCATCCTAATTTTTGGTATAACCTGCGAGCTAAGGGAGTTAACCACTGTTTTTTCAAATTATTCTCCAATACTATTTATGAATTAATCCTTACCTCCACTAACTTTTTCAAATATTACATTGCATGTTTCTATATATACTTGTGTCTGTTCCTGAACTTTTGATAACCTTTGAGACCTACCATTTTAACAAGTCCATACAGGAAAGGAAAAAGAATAGTCATATGCAAATACAGCTTTCCCAGCTATTCCCTGGAGATGGGTAAGAAAGAGACCAAAACGGGGGGGGGGGGGGGGGGGGAATCAGAAATGAATAGTGAATGATCAGAAGGGACTTGTCAGTTCAATAAATAAACCCTTGTAAGAATTTGCCCTGGTGTAAAGGAAGGTGTTACTATTCTCCCTTAATGTAGTGAGCAAGGAGGAAGCATAATCAGGATAGAGATACACCTATCAGAAAAATGCTTGGCTCCATTTAATTCCTCTCCCCACCTCACCCATTTATGAGCCAAAGTATTCTACTTACTTAACCTACCTTCAGGGTCAGGCCTGAGCATAGTCTGAACAGAGTTCCTGCTGTGGGCAAAAATTATATTGGGAGTCCCTGTCTCAATAGGACCTACTCCATTTGGTAACTGCAACTATTAAAGAGATAATTCACGAAAAGCAGTTACTACATTGCCTGGCTGTATGAGTTTGCTAAAAAACTGACATAACAAAATACCACAGACTTGGGGGCTTACACAACAGAAATTAATTTCCTCACAGTTCTGAAGGCTGGCAATCCAAGATCAAAGTGTCAGCAGCTTTCAGTTCTCCTGAGGCCTATCTTCATGGCTTGCAGATGGCACCTTCTCGCTGTGTGAAAAGGCACTAGCCTTTTCTCAGTACGTGTGCATCCCTGGTGTCTCTCCCTCTTCTTATAAGGACCAGTCATACTGGGTTAGGGCCCATTCATACGACTTCATTTAACCCTAATTATCTCTTTAAAGGCCCTATCTCCAAAGAGTCACATGCCGAGGTATACTGGGGGTTAGGACTTCAATGTATGAACTGGGGGGAGGGTACGCAATTCACACAATAACACTGGCATATATGAAGGAGCTAATAAAAACAAGCTATTCTTAAGCACATGTGTTGGGCAAGGCAAATAAACATCGATGCAACCGTAACAGGAAACAGATAAACAACCTCGCTTTTTCCTCCTTTCTGACCAAGAATAGATGTCCAACGCTTGAAACAGCTGGGACACAACAGAAAGCCCGGTCCAAATAGCTACCTATTCCAACCAGGTCAGAGGATACTTAAAGGCTAGAGCACAATGGCTCAGCAGGTGGATGCTGCTAAGAGAACTGAATTGGCTAATGGCCTCCCCAAAACCATAGGTTACTATTTTAAATGTTACAAAAGACCATAGAGCATGAAAAGATGAAAAATAAAACCAGTGTGGGTCCAGCCTTCAAAGGAGGAGAACTGAGTGATAGGGGCAGTTTGGCTGCATGAGACTAAACTAAGCTGCTGAGTACTAAGCTGTCTGGGGGCTAGGGGGAGATCACAATCTTTTCTGTCCTGGGGCTCTCAGGACAGAAAATAGCCTTTTCCTTTTTTCTCTCCTTTTCACTAAAATCCTTTTTGCAGTCCTTGAAGATGGAAAATGGCTGTGTGCTGGCCAAAATCACGCAGAAGGGACACAAACACACTTATCCTTAGTGCTACATAATGTAAACGTAAAAGAGGGCTTATTTGGGGAAAAACCTCCCAAGCAGATTTTTTTTTTCATTTGTTTGTATTTGTTACAACTTTTTAAAGCAGAACGTGACTTGAGCACTACATTTCCACTCACAGAACTTGCTGAGTTACTTTTTGAACAGCTTTACAACATGCCTAAATAGGCTTAGAATTTCGCTACTCTAAACAACGCTCTTCTTTGGAAAACAAGCCCTATACGTAGTTACTCCCATCCAGTTGGTTCAGTTTAACTACTAGTTTCTAGAGGCCTGGTACATGCAGTTGATAACTACAGGGGATAGAAGATTTAAAAAGTAGATCCTAGACGGTGAGAGTCGTTTTAACCAATAGTTCTCTTTTAAACATCAAGGTATAGCTCAGAACACTTCAGTGACAAAAAAAAAAATTTGGTCTTACTAAGGAATCCGCTTGGTAGCTAAACGCTTTAGAGCACACGGTTCACGTTAGGTTACATACACCTCACAACAAATGTTACCTTGTCCAGTTACAAGGAGCCAGCATGGAACCGGGGAAGAAAAACTAGCTGGGCTTTAGGTCCTACATGTCACAGTAGCACACTCCGAAAAGAAAGAAATCTTATCTTCCCCTTAAGTAGTTACTGTCATGCCATACAGATTCTTAAAATGTTAACAAAAATAAAGAAAAACATCCTTGAAAATATATTATCAGAGGGAATGAAGATAAAGTATCGAATACATGTACAAGTAATGCTCAGCGGCGCTTAATCGACTTCCTCCACGCGGGACGTGTCATCGTCGCCCTCAAGGGGCGGCATCTCTTCGCTCACCGCGGCACTGCTGTCGTCGGCCGTGGGGTCGTCTCCGTCAATACCGAGCCCGAGCTTGATCATCCTGTAGATCCGGTTAGCATGTGTCTGGGGATCTTCCAGACTGAAGCCAGAGGACAGGAGAGCAGTTTCGTAAAGCAGGATGACCAGATCTTTCACAGACTTGTCGTTCTTGTCGGCCTCTGCCTTCCGCCGTAAGGTCTCCGTGATGGAGTGGTCGGGGTTTATCTCCAGGTGCTTCTTCGCGGCCATGTAGCCCATGGTGGAGTTGTCTCTCAAGGCCTGGGCCTTCATGATCCTCTCCATATTTGCCGTCCAGCCGTATGTGCTTGTGACAGTGCAGCACGGGGAGGTCACCAATCGGTTTGACACGACCACCTTTTCTACTTTTTTCTCCAAGATGTCCTTCATGATCTTGCCCAGGTTTTCAAACTTTGTTTTTTTTCTCTTCCTCTTTCTTTTTCTCTTCTTCGTCTTCTGGAAGTTCCGAGCCCTCTTTGGTAACAGACACTAACGTCTTCCCCTCAAATTCCTTCAGCTGTTGGACACAGTACTCATCGATGGGCTCAATCACATAGATCACTTCCAAGCCATGCTTCCGAAGACGCTCCACGAAGGCCGAGTTTGCTACCGGATCCTTGGTCTCACCTGTGATGTAATAGATGTGTTTCTGGTTTTCCTTCATTCTGGTGCAATAGTCCTTGAGGGAAACCATCTCATCGCCAGAAGCAGACGTGTAGTATCATAACAGCTCGGAGAGCTTCTTTCGATTCTGAAGAGTCTTCATGTATTCCCAGCTTGATGTTTTTCGAAAACTGCTCATAAAACTTCTTGTAGTTCTCTTTGTCTTCAGCCAGTTCGGTGAAGAGTTCCAAGCACTTTTTGACCAAGTTCTTTCTGATAACTTTTAAAATTTTGCTTTGCTGAAGCATCTCACGGGAAATACTTAGAGGAAGATCCTCAGAGTCCACCACACCTCTAATGAAATTCAGGTACTCGGGAATTAGCTCCTCGCAGTTATCCATGATGAAAACTCTGCGAACATACAACTTAATGTTGTTCTTTTTCTTCCTGTTCTCGAATAGGTCAGAGGGAGCGCGTCTTGGCACAAAGAGAAGAGCTCTGAACTCCAACTGTCCTTCCACTGAAAAATGCTTCACTGCCAAGTGATCTTCCCAGTCATTGGTCAAGCTCTTATAAAATTCTCCATACTCTTCGTTGGTGATGTCGTCAGGGTTTCTAGTCCAAATAGGCTTCGTCTTGTTCAGTTCTTCCTGATCGATGTACTTCTCCTTGATCTTCTTCCTCCTCTTCTCGTCCCCGTCCCTCTCCTCCCCCTCCTCCTCCTCCGAGCCGACGTCTTCTATCTCAGTCTTGTCATCGGGCTCCTTCTCTTCCTCTTCTCTTTCCTCCTCCTTCTCTTCCTTTACTTTAGCCTCATCATCACTGACCTCTTTGTCGTGTTCCTTCACCACAAAGAGAGTAATGGGATAGCCAATAAACTGGGAGTGCTTCTTCACAATCTCTTTTATTCTCCTTTCCTCCAAGTACTCTGTCTGGTCTTCTTTCAGATGCAGGATAACCTTTGTTCCCCGACCCATAGGTTCACCTGTATCAGTCCTAACTGTGAACGATCCTCCTGCAGAAGACTCCCAGGCATACTGCTCATCACCGTTATGCTTGGTGATCACCGTCACTTTCTTGGCAACCAAGTAGGCAGAATAGAACCCAACACCAAACTGGCCAATC